AGGGGAAACCTTTAACTGTAGGTATTCCTTTAGTGCAATGATTTGGGAAAGACATACATTACTGTATCTTTTAAACAAGGAAACAGAATTGTTAAAGAACACAAAAAAGTGACCAAAAGTACATAATAAAGATTGTGCTAGAAATACAGGGAATGAGAATTTATTCCATTGTTATACCAGGAAAATAATCTTTTCCTCAAAGTTATGTCAGAAGGAGGACCAATTGCTTTAATTTTTGTGGTGTTTTTTGCTGACTTCCTAAAACAATATTGAAAAAGACCATTCTGAAAACCATGAGATTCATTAGAACATCTTTTGTTTCCCCCAATAAGTATGTTTTGCATTTAGCTGGGGTTGAATCTGATGGTGTGCATTGAAGCACTATCCCTATTAAAGTCTTCAGAGCTTTTATAGCAAATACAAGTGTTGAAGTAGAAATTTCATACAATAAATTGATAAAATGTCCTTCCCCCCCCGAAATGTATGTGTGTGTAACTCTAACTAGGGCTTGGGTGTAAAAAGGATCATGGGAATGTGTAAAGAGTACAAAGTCCAAAGCAATGTCAAAACAGGGCTGCTTTTTATAGGTGACAGATCAGCAGTTGATTTTGCTGGTTTTATAACACTGTGTATTGGCTCAAAATCTAGCTGTTCTTGTTTTTGTTTTATATTTACCCGCTTCTCAATGAGAGAGATTCAGGAGAGAGCAGATTGTTTTTATTCATTGTCAGTGAAGTAAGAGTGGAAATTCTGGTTCATGTCAGTTACTAGTTTGAGCATATAATGATGTATCTGATTTGGATGTCTCTTTTTAAACAGTATTCCTCGCTTCATGTAAGGCGAGATCAATGGTGAAATTCCATTTCTGCACTGTACTAATTTATTTTATGTCTGCAAATAAGATAAAACTAATGGAGTAGGAACTAGTAGTGGACTTAAATCTGAAATTCTCCTATTTCCCCTAAAGGAGTCTGGTCCTTCATTGTGATAGATAGAGTTAGGTATTTTTGGAATTCGGTCATAATGATATGATCTTTCCCATCTCTTCCTTGAGGTAGCAATTCAGGCATTTATATTTGACAGTATTTACTTAATATAAACCTAAGTTCATTTATTATATCTTTATTTTTAATTCATATACACTCCAAGAAAAAAAAATCCAAAAGAAATTCCACCACAAAAAACTGCGTTAAGATGGAGTCAGGTTTGCTGATGTCCTTCTTACAGAAGATTATGAAAAAGGAAGTCATGTTGAGGTTCTTTCACGATCTTTAGGATTTACTTCCTCTTTTGGACAAGATGGGTGAATCAGAAGGAAAAAAAAGAGCAATTTAGCATCTGCAACTCTGACCATGTATACATTGTTTCTTGTGCTGTGCTGTAAGGTATGTAAGTCTGTCAGATGTCTTACGAGGATATTTTCCTAACACATTGTTTGCTCCAGATTAACGCAGTATTTTGTTTGGAAGTATGTAGGTGTACAGGTAGAAATAGACTATGAGAAATAAGGTTGATGAAACAATTGTTGGACATTTCTATATTTTTATACATTATGAAGGGCATTTTTGAAATTTTTCTTGCAGTTTTAGTAATTATTTAGTGTGATAATATACATATATTGTGACAATGTTTTCCGCTATATCCATTACTTTGGTGTAATTGTATTTTATGTAGCAAATATGTGTATATAGAAAGGAGATTATGTAAAAGCTATGATTAAAAAATAGTCTTAAGCCCTTCAGAACAGGAACTGTCTTCCTCTGTGTCTACAAAGTACTAAATGCCTTGGGATCCCAGCCAGAGCTCCCGTCTGAGACCTGTAGTGATGGAATTGCTCAGTGAGGAATGTGGGGGAAGCAGCTCCCTGCTGTCCATGAGAAGCCTTAGTACGAAAGGTGCCATGAAGCTCACCCTGCCAGTGCCGGTGCTGGGGCTGTGCAGTGTATGGCTGTTCCCAGCACCGCCTGCCAAGCCACCCAGAGAGCCTGGAGTGTCCTTTGCTCCGATCCTCCCCCTTGGCAGTAGGAAAGCAAGTCTGACAGGGAGCTTTGGTGTCCTCAGGAAATCTTCCTTGTTAGCAGGGTGACACTTCCAGAGCTTGTTCAGTCTGCATGCAGTGTTCCTTGAAGACAAAGAAATTATTCCTGTTGACTTCAAGGGCCACTGGATGTGCTCCTGAAAGATCAGGTACTGCTGGTGTAACAGCTCTGTTACACCTGAGGACCCGCTTGGTCAAGTTCTTCAGGAATGGTCTAAAAAGATGTAAAAATATAAATATATTTAATTACATGTACTGAAAACCAAATCCTATTTGTTGTGGTCAGAGTTCAGATAATTATGGGAATTTTGATTTCTTAGTCATAGTTGCATATATATTGCTTTAACTGTTGTGTATGAAAGAGGAAGTGATTCTAAAATGTGTGAAAGGTCAGGATTATACCTGTTTTTTAATGATAATGTTATTTAGGAATGGATGTCAGCAAATTTAACTCCATAAGAATGCAATATTTTTTGCATTAGAAAAACATTACATGTGTGTATCTCATACACCCACATTTTATATATAATATATTATATATTTGGTACTAACTTTGTATTTTGAAATTTTGCCAAATCGCAAACACAGATGTTCTCACTTGTAAGACTTTGGTACTTAATAACTGAATGTATAAGAAATGCTCTGGTATGAGAGGAAAGAGTGTTGTATGGTGTCCCACGGTCCAGATGGCTCGACCAGCAGGCACGTTGCCTTTTTTATGTCTCGCTTCATTGCAGCATCACCTTTGGTCTCCTGGAAAGCAGTCTGTGTCTCAGCCAAACCGCAGGCCAGCTGTGCACTGCACTAGCGTCAACGCTGACTGGTAGTAGTGATACAGTAGTCACCAGTGTGCCACAAATGCATTTATTAAATGCAGAAATAGACATTTCTACAAAGGCAAAAATCTTATGTTGTATGTTCCTTTCTTGTCATTACATTGTATCATATTGTAAGATTATTGTATGTCCTAATTTGCATTATAAAATGTTTTTTCCTACTTAAAGGCATAAATATAGCAACTTTGTATAAAGGTAGCTTTCTAGATTTTTATTTCTTTTATATAAAAAAGTCTAAACAGTGGGAGTACCATTGCCAAATTGTTTATAAAATTTCAAGTAATTTTCCCTGTTCAGTGAATTTGTTTTTACAAACATTCCATATTTCTTATACTATGCAGAAAGAGTGTATTTTTATGCCATTCCACATTAATCTTAAAAAAAATTCACTTCTTTTAAGCTGTTGTTATAGAGAAAGCTTACCAAATGTGCATTTAAAAAAAAAATGTGTTATGTACATTTTACCCCTTACCAGTGCCAACTTCATTTGGGAAAAAAAATTGTAGCATGGCAATAAACTATTGATTTTACATTAAAAATTGTCTGTCTGTGGATTACTTCAGTAGTTTGCAGTGTTAGTGTCAATGTATTATGTTTTGTTTGTATAATCTTTTTTACTTTTCTTTAAAATATTGCTTCATGTACCTCTCTCTGCCCTCCTCCCTACCTCCCTATTCCACTCATTACTCAGTAGTTTAAAAAACCCCAAAACTGATCATGGTGGTTTGAAGTCTGTAAATTCATCTCCAAGATTTTGTTTCATTTCTGTTGGTTTTCTGTCACACCTTTGTCCTGCATGTAGATGCAGATATTTTTTTTAAGAGGCATTTTTTCCTTCACAGTGAAGAAACATACAGCAACTTGAAATATTGCCCTTGGCACAAGAGAGGTGAGGGCACGGCACAGGTGAGAGAGGTGGGAGTCCAGAACCAGCACTGCTGATGTGTTCTTCCTATTCTGGTGTCACTACCTCTACACATTGTAAAGCATACCTTAGCAATGGTCAAAAGCCCCTTAAACCCAATTTATTAATTTGCTGTAGTTTTTCTGTGAGCATTGGATCTTTCAAAGGCCATAACTTGGATTCTCCCAACTCACCACAGTAGCAGCAAATGTCAGTGCACATCTTTATGAATGTTGTGATTCTGAAAGAAGCTGTTTACATTGTTTTAATTGTATTATTTGCTCTAGCCAAACACTAAATAGTTTTCAGCATAACTATGATGAAAACTAAAGATTTTAAATTAAACTAGTAGTCTAGTTTCAGAACAGGGTTCTGGAGGGAAATGTTACCTAACTGTGAAGAAAACGGGACAAAAAGCCTAACGTACTCAAGAACTAATACTAACCAGGTATTGACAAAATTAGCAATGCAGATCAGAGTTGGCAGAGTTTTAGTCATGGTCTTTTTTGCTGTGCCCAATGGGATGGATTTCTCTCTGGTCAGTTTGAATCTAGAACAAACAACTTTCCATATATCCCAAGAGTTTAGTACCTAGCAGCAAGACGACGGATACCAGCTGCAATTAATTCTTGAAGATGAGTCATACAAAATAATACAGGTTGGGTTTGGGTTTTTTTCTTTTTATATGACCAGGTAACAGGCGTTTTGTGTGGAGGAAAAGCGGTGACAAAGCAAGGTTTAAGTGTTGTCTAACCCTGGTAAAGCTGCCAGGGGAATAGTTACCAATTTTTCTGTATTTAATTGCAGTGTATTCAGTGGGATTGTGCTGAGCATCTCCTGTTCACTGCATGTAACTGGAGCCGTGGTCTAAGAGCAGCCCTCTGAGCTGGGCTGGCAAGCGCACTGGAGGCCACAAGCAGTAACTGAAAATGCTTTTGACCTGTCTGAGAGCTGACCTCCAGGAATATCACAGAACCACAGAATCAAAAAGTAGCTTTGAGTTGGAAGGGACCTTAAAAATCATCTAGCTCCACAACCCCTGCCATGGGCAGGGACACCTTCCAGTCGCTCCCATCCAACCTGGCCCTGGACACTCCAGGGATGGGGCACGCACGCTTTCTCTGGGCAGCCCGTTCAGTGCCTCTCAGCCCAGGGTGAGGAGTTCCAGTGCCTCAGCCCAGGGTGAGGAGTTCCAGTGCCTCTCAGCCCAAGGTGAGGAGTCCCGTGCTTCAGCCCAGGGGAAGGAGTTTCCCCCTGAGCGGGCTCACAGACGCCACCGCTGCCCCAGCCGGGGCGCGCAGCCGCTGTGGGCGCCGGGCGGCGCGGGCCGGACTGCGGCTCCCAGCAGGCCGCGCCGCCGGAAGCGGCGGCCGCCGTGACGCCATTCCGGAGGAGCTCTTAGGGCTGCGGCGTGGCGCTGGTTCTCTGCTGAAGGAGGGGCGGACGGCGGGTCCCGGCGGCACCGGCACCATGGTGAGCGGCGGGGCGGTGGCGGTGGCGGTAGCGGCGGCTTGGCCCGGGCCGGGCCGGGTGCGGCGGGGCTGCGCTGCGCTGCAGCGGGCGGGCGCGAGGCCTGGCGGGCGCGCCCCTCGTTGCCCCGCGCTGTGCCGCGGCTGCGGGCGGCGGCGGCGCCCGAAGGTTCTGGAGCCGGGGCGGGGCGACTCCGGGAGCCCCGGTACCTGTGTTCGGGATTTGATCCTGCTTCATGTAAGGCCTTGGCTGCTCTGCAGTGTTGGGCCTTAAGGGTGGGTATTGGTTGCCGCTATGATTCATTTGCATTGATATGAAAAAAAAATGAACCCAAAAAAAAAAAAAAAAAAAAAAAGACGAGTTCGGCTCAGGTATCAAAATGCTAAAGGCTCAGTACGGCCAGTAAATAGACTTGCATTGGTTGCTGCTGGTTGTGCGTGCCCTCGGGCTGCAGGGAAGGGCCGGCTGGTTGGGCAGAGCCATAAGGGATGGGCTCAATGCGCTGCGCTCTGCGGGCAGCTGCGCTCGGTCCGGGGATCCTTCACAGGGCTACGAAACTGCAAGACAGATTTTTAAGAACCTTGACTATTGAATATACCTGATATCACAACAAAATGGAGTATGGAAGTAATTTTATTTAAAAAACAATTGTTTAAGTTGTTAAAGTGAGGGATTTGCTTTTAGAACACATAGTTTTATTGAAGCTAGAACAATATTCTTACATTAACTGTGTTTTAGGCATCCATTTCCCTTGCTCCTGTGAACATTTTCAAGGCAGGTGCAGATGAAGAGAAGGCAGAAACAGCTCGGCTGGTAAGTTTAATTCTCAAAGAAACTGGTAGTACTTGAGGTAATTAAACTTTCTCTTTTCTACTACTAAAAATATTTTCACTATATTATGATATGGAACTTCTTTCTCTTAACTGGCTTTTCTTCTTGCATGTCTGTGAACAGAAGGGAGGAGGAGTGTTTATTCTAAAAATTAGGGAAACTCTTCATTGTCGAAACCAAAGTACCTCTACTGGAGGTCAGAAAACTGGTGTTTATTGAGTGGCATTTCTTCTGGCTTTGAGACAGACTTACAGTTTCTGGGAGATTTAAGTATATTTGATCTGATTATCAAAATTTAGCAGTTAAGAAACTTGCCTTAAGTTCAGTTAAGCCTCCATTGAAAGTGGTGGAAGGGTTGGGTAAAATGTCAAAAGCTGTGTGGTAATGTATAATAATTTTATTAGAATAGAAATAAATTGTTCCCTGAGGTATATTTATTTTCATTTCAGTCATCCTTTGTTGGTGCCATTGCCATTGGTGACCTAGTCAAGAGCACCCTGGGGCCTAAAGGCATGGTAAGACAGTTCCTGGCTCTCAGTAGGCATGCCTATTAATTTAGCTTTAATAGTTACAGTGCCTTTTCAAGCAGTATGCTAAATCTCGCATCTTGTAGGACAAGATTCTTTTAAGTACCGGGAGAGACAGCTCTGTCACAGTTACCAACGATGGTGCAACCATCCTGAAAGCTATTGGAGTTGACAATCCAGCTGCCAAGGTCTTGGTTGGTGAGTGTTGGAATCTGTGGTATTGATTATTCTGAGATTGTAGAAAGTCTCTGTCTTTCTGCCCCGTTGCCAAAGAAGAAGCCATAATTCGTCTGTGCTGTTTTCAAGGTTGTTTATTCTTGCTTATCTATAACATGTTCTGCTGCCCTGCTGCAGGTCTGTCCTGCAGGGCAGCGAGCGGGGCTCTGCCCCCAGTGGGATGTTACAAACATTAAATACCAGAAACTACGTGTGCTATATTTACAATAATGTGCCAATATCTATCATCTACGTTAAACAGCGTGTCCCCAGCCTAAACCAACAGAAAAATGCCAACACTACAGTGAAACATGGAGGGCATGAAGAAGGAGAAAAAGGACAAGGCACGCCCAATTTCCTTCATCTTGTCCCCTTTGAACCCCTAATCTAGAAACCTAAAATTTTATTTTTGAACCCGCGCCACACTTAATTATTACTTACATCAAACACTCAGAGTTTGTAATTCATCCTGTAAGATTGAAAACTTTTGCATGGACAGAGATCAGAGACAGTGTCTCTCGGGGCTCTGTCCAGGGGGGTTCCTGCCCCCCTGCCAGGGTCCCAGGGCAGCCAGAGGGAAGCCCTGGATTCCCTCAGGTGAGTTCTTAAAGGCTTGATATTTCTTAATTTGTAACTCTGTCGTGGAGTTTTTATTTGTTCTTAGAAAAATGTTCTTGAAATACTGTGAAAAATTGAAGGGAGGGAGAGTAGCAATCTGAAGTAAGAAGGACAGGGTACTGCAAGATTTGTAGCATTCTGCGAAAATAAAATTGTGATGTATGCTGCTCCTCAAAACTGATTTTTTACCTTCTTGTCCCTTAACCCTGCTTTGTCCCAGTAGTCAGAAGGGACAAAAGACAGCTGTGTGCCCCTCTTTGTGCAGTGGGAAAATTTGGAACAGAAATCTGTGCAGCAACAGAAGTTCTTTCTGTTTCTTCCGGATTAAATCTCTGTCACAGTGAGCACTGTACTTCTGTACAGTTTACTGTTGTGAGCGACTGTTCTGTGTGCCAGTGGTCCACTACTGGTGATGAGCAGGAGCCTGACCTATTGGGTGTCAGGTTTCCTAATGATTTTGTGTTTGCTGCTTCCCAGTTTATCAGCAGTTCGTGCAGGAGACCTGGTTATTATTGTCTCGGATCCTGTATCTATACCTTAGAGCTTCTATCCAGCTGCACTTCCTTTTGATAACCATCATTAGGATGGGCAACAGAGGGGAGCATCCTGACCATCACCAGGCTGAAACTGGTGTCTAGGTTGTAAATGAAGAGGAGGAATTTGAGGGATGCCAAGTTTCATTTGTATCTCTTGTTTTTCTGGGTGTTTTAGAGTTCCCTCTTTACACAAAGAGTAAGATCTTTTTTTCTTGTCCAAATTAATGCATGAGAAAAATAGCATTAATACTGTGTTTTCCTTCTTCAGACATGTCAAAGGTTCAAGATGATGAAGTTGGTGATGGAACTACATCTGTCACAGTGTTGGCAGCTGAATTACTGAGGGTGATGTATTAGTTTTTTCGGATGTTAGTCAGTGTACTTCTGTGATGCCACCAGTAGGAGGGTGTGTTATCCTATGTTTGTGAAAGGGTTCCTAAAGCATACAAAGGAATAGCTTGCTCTGTTGCTGGTGAAATTGATAGGGGGCAAAAAACAACCCGTAGGTATTGCATCATCGTTTTCTGGGTATTATTTTAGACTATTATTCTTTATATTATTTTTTATAAACTCTCAAGTATTTTAAGTTGACTCTTACAGCTCACTTCCTGACTATTGCACTGAGCAGCACGCAGCATTGCTTAGTTGTGAGGCTCAGTCCTCTGAAATCCATTTCCATAAAAAAAATTGTGCTAAATTCTGTTCTTTTCTTGAGGCCTGAATTCATGCTGTTCCTTTACTGTTCTGTATGGATTTTATGCTTATGGAAAAACTTATACTGCCAAACTCTAAACCTGAAATTACTATGAAAGAGACTTAAGAAATGCGTAATTCTTCCTTGCAGAGCTGTATCAGAAAGCCTGATCATCTCAGGTCCAGTAACTGGGATCAAGAGCATCTTAAGGAATGATCTGTCAGCTTGCCAAGTTCCACAGAAAAAGAAAGATAGCTTTTTTTCAACTGCACTTTTAAGTTGCATCTGTAAATGAACATGCCTTTTTTAGTTAGTGAAACTGTACTTTTTCGTGGGGGGAATAATTATTGATTTCATTTAAATAGGAGGCAGAATTACTGATTGCGAGGAAGATTCATCCTCAGACCATCATTGCAGGCTGGAGAGCAGCCACAAAGGCTTCAAGAGAGGCACTTTTGAAAGCAGCTGTGGATCATGGGTTAGTAATGTCCATTTGCTGTAACTCTCTATGTACTTCTGAGTTCATTAATTTTAACAGTTAATAAAAAGATAATGATGTTTTTTCCAAATGAGTTAAAGACGCTTCAAAATTATTTATGATGTGCAGAAATTAAATACAAGCTGTAATTTGCTCAGTGGAACAAAGATCTGAGCTGTCATTTCAGATTTTCGCACATTTTAAATATAACTTTTTCCCATGGCCAGCACTTTGGGAGCACAAACTTTCTAAAGCTGAATGCAATAATTCTCCTAACAAAACTTGTATTTCAAATAGAAGGTTATGTTCTCGGACAGTGGAGGGATTCTGTGCAGTGTTCCTCAAAAGAAAATATGGTACATATAGATACAGGCTAAAAGAAGTGGCAAAGACTCAGGGTGGTAGCTAGTGGTAGTTAAGGCTTTCAGACTTGCCACTTTAACTGAACTGTCTTTATTTTAGTAATGATGAAGTGAAGTTCCGTGAAGACTTGATGAACATTGCAGGAACAACTCTGTCATCAAAATTGCTTACTCACCATAAGGATCACTTCGTCAAGCTAGCTGTAGAAGCTGTTCTTAGGTTGAAAGGTTCTGGTAATTTGGAGGCTATCCATGTCATTAAGAAACTTGGTGGAAGTTTGGCTGATTCCTACTTAGATGAAGGTAAGCTTTTGAGTGTTGACTGTGTATGCACTTGAGAAATAAAGCTGCTAAAGGTTACACATCTATGTAAATTTCTTACAGGAAACGCCGTTATGTTATCATTAAATTGAAAATTAAAGATGATGGATTTTGTAATAACTAGTAGTTAGTCTCTTTGTAAATTTGAAGTTTGACAAGACCTTTCTGTTACTACAGGCTTTTTACTTGACAAGAAGATTGGTGTAAATCAGCCAAAAAGAATTGAAAATGCTAAGATTCTTATTGCAAATACTGGTATGGATACAGACAAGATTAAGGTATGTGAGAGAACTACTGCTGAGAAACTGGTTTTGCAAATGGAATTTTAAGACTGAGCTCTTTTCTCTTTGATTTAGATTTTTGGTTCTCGTGTTAGAGTGGACTCCACAGCAAAAGTGGCAGAAATAGAACAGGCAGAAAAAGAAAAAATGAAGGAGAAAGTGGATCGTATTCTTAAACATGGAATAAATTGCTTTATTAACAGGTACGTATTTCTTGGGAAAAAGGGAAAGTTACATTACTTTCCATGTTGTTCTAGTTCACTCTGCTAGAATAGGCAGCTAGGTGCTGGCAGGTACTTAGGATCAAAGGACTTAGACCTTAAAAGCGTATGGCTGCCTGTGCTTAGTGGGGTAGTGTTTCTTCACAGAAAGGATATTTCAAAACACATTATAGTTTGATTTTTTTTTTCCTTAGCTTTGCATGTTTTCCTGTCACTATGTTTTCCTCCGTGTTGTGTAACATTCCACGTATGGCAGATGCCTCATCCATTGACTGCTTTAGTAGCTTTCAGAAATTGTTCTGTGTCCATGCTATTGAGAATCTGGTGTCTTTTGTTACTGTGTTATTTTCAAAGATTTGTTCTGTGTGTGATGGTGAGATGTGTTTTGATTTTAGACAGCTGATCTACAACTACCCTGAGCATCTCTTTGGAGCTGCTGGTGTCATGGCTATTGAACATGCAGACTTTGCTGGTGTAGAACGTCTGGCTCTTGTCACTGGTATGTAGAGTTGTATGAAACTTGGAGGAGCGCGTTATTTGTTTGAACATTAGTAAACATAAAACTTATTTAAACATACTTCTTCAACGTCTGTGAATAAAGGATCATAATGCAAAACATGGATTATAATTTAGCAAGTTAGTGCCAGTTAGTAATTTTCTTTCATATTTTAAAAATATTTTTCAGTTAAGTTCCTGCTTGATAAGATTTTGATATGTTTGTTTTCTAAGAAAAAGTTGAAACGTAGCAGCAGAAAGAATAACTCCACAAGTTAGTATTAACAGCTCTTGATTCTGTTGTAGCAATTGGTTCTAAATGGCTGTTGTTTGACTGTGATGATAGAGAAGACTAAAGAATCATCCTTTGTTAAAAATGCAGGCCTGAGTTGTTGATTTGAGGTGGACCTCAAATGACATGAGCAACCTGGATATTTTGAGTAGTGGTCAGCATAAATGTGATTCTAGTAACTGCTGAAAATGAAACCTCTGAAATGCTGCAGATAATTCTCATTGCTGAAGTCATAGATAGTTAACTGGGATATCATAGTTGATTTTGAAAGTGATCAGGAGGATGAATTTGCTTTGCAGGAGAAAGGAGAAGACACTGACTTGCTTATCTTAGCAAAATTCAAGTAGCAATTGCCTATAACCATCAATAGGCACATTGACACAGGTAAATGCATTATTGAGAGGAACATTGCTTACATGCTGAAACAAATTGAAAGCAAACTTTCTATGCAGACCAGATCGGCCTTATCAGACCACACTGGTTTGAATAGCATAGCTGAAAAAAGGACAAGTTTTTAATTTGCACAAACTCTCTGCTACAAGTCTTAGTTTTTCTTGTGGTGCTGCAACTACACAGTGTTGCACTCTACTGTGGGATAATTGAGCATGCATTGGGAATGCATACATGTAAAGAGTTTTCTAATAGGAAGAGGAAAGAATTAGAACAATAACTAGAATGATGTTCTTTTGTTTATGATATGGCAGTTTACAGATTGTGCAGAGTATTGCTGCTACAGCATGGAATGAGACTTGGGATGCAGGAGAATGGTGGCCACTGGCTCTCAGCCATCATCAGGCAGTCAAAATGAATACTGTCACAAGCTCAAGTTTTAAAGAATAAAGTATTTTATAAACCCGTAATCAGTAAATACTGTGAAAACTTGAAACATACTTTTTAATGGTAGCAAAAATGTTTATTCTGCTATCAGACACAATTCACAAGCATTTTACTTGTGATGTGAAACAAAACATTGGTGTTTTAAGGATTTATCAGCATTGGTTAAAGGTTTCTGGCAGCACATGCTGACATGAGAAAGTCTTGACTTATCAGTATTGTTAATTTAAATTTATTCTGGGGCAATTACAAAGACAGTTTTTTTTCACACAGAGCCCCCCCCGCCCTTGGTTAGACCTTGCCTGAGAGGATGCTTTCATTGTGAGCTCTGATTTCATTATGATCTTGCACTTGTAGGTGGTGAAATTGCTTCAACTTTTGATCACCCTGAGCTAGTAAAACTAGGAAGCTGCAAGCTTATTGAAGAAGTCATGATTGGAGAAGATAAACTCATTCATTTCTCTGGAGTAGCAATGGGTAAGTGTTTTATCACTAATGGTGTATTGTAACATTTTTGTTAACCCTCTGCTAATGCTGTTCAGTTTCCAGTGATGCATAGGAATTCTGTAGTGGTTTATGGAACTGTTTTTATTAAAGCCTTCCTTTTGAGTAAAAATCTTGCACAGTTGCATGGTTGAAACTGTGGATGTTTTGTGTTATGTAAATGAACATATAATCACTTTTAAGGATGGGAACCAAGGGTACTGCTTTGGGAAATTCAATTGACAAGAAAAGTAGCAATATGTCATACTTAAAGAGCTTGTTCAGCATTCACTTGTTCTAGTAAATGCCAGTGCTCTAATGTTTCAAGGAGTTTTGAGGCGATATTAATTTTCTGTTAAATTAAATAAGGTGTTGTGGAACCAAAGCAATAACACTGCACACATAATTTCATTCTATCTTTGAAGTGTCGTCATGCTTTCTTCTGCTCCCAGAATTAAATAATACAGAACTCGACCACAGCAATAGCAAAACCATTGTAAATCCTTTGTGATAGCCCGTTTTTGTGTCCTGGTTTCTCTTTTTAATCCTTTTACATTTGTGCTTTCCAGGTGAAGCTTGCACCATAGTTTTGCGTGGAGCCACACAGCAGATTCTAGATGAAGCAGAGAGGTCTCTGCATGATGCTCTCTGTGTCCTGGCCCAGACTGTGAAGGACACAAGAACTGTGTATGGTGGAGGTGAATATCAGATTCTTTGTACATGTCACACATTTTGTATTACTGAGGATTAGATATGTAACATCTGTGTGTCTTCAATGAATAGGTTGTTCAGAGATGCTGATGGCTAATGCTGTTGCAGAACTTGCTGTCAGAACACCTGGCAAAGAATCTGTTGCAATGGAGTCCTTTGCTAAGGCTTTACGAATGGTAGGTTTAATCAGGTTGGTGGACTAAGAGACAAAGTTTCATGAAGTTTACTAACTTGTGATATGAGATATTTGCTTCACTTTAAAAGTTTTGGTTTTCCAAAGTAAAAAAGTGAAGTTTAGCAACACATCTTGGATAAACAAAGGGGGAATTGGTTTTTTGTCTTAGGAAAAAAGTGTTTTAGTAATTCTGCATGTTACAGAATTGTAAATGTTCATATGCTAACCTTCCTCTAATTTGTTCTTGCTCACCTTACCTGCTAGTTAAAAGTGCTGCAGAAATAGTACGTAAAAATCTCATCTTACGTCATTGAAAACTGATTTAGAAAAGAGCAACCCTTCTCTTCCATTGATGCTCTAGTGCTATTTGGGTGTATTCATGCTCTAGTACTAGCTACAAGTTTCTGGTCTTGCACTGGAGATTGCACCTCAGTAGGAAATGAGAGTGTCACAAGAAACATTAATAGAATTGTGATAACAGGCTGTCACTTTGACAATGAAATTGACTGTCTGCAATTTGAATTAGAGAAAACCTTTCTCCCAAGAAAATTAAATTCAAGAGCATGTAACACTTGACATTACCTCTTCAGTCAGCACATGCAAGTTTGCACTGCTGTCATAGAAACAGTGAACAGAATGGTCAGGTAGTTAATGCTTACCAGCAGACTTGTGCTTTTTAAATGAAAACATTTCTTCAGTTGTAGTCTGAAATGATAAAATGACAAGATTCTTTTTTATCCTCTGTCCATGTAAAATGAGCTTACAAATCTGCTAACATGCTTCTGTCCTCATAGGTACGTTCTTAAAACAGAGTCTTGAAATTCTTAGAAAAGTAGTTCAGGTTTTTTACTTATCACAGTAACAGATCATCTGGCATGTTTCTGAAGCATCTTCTTGAAATTCAGTTGTAAACTAATAATATCAAACTATGTATCATGTTTACTAACAGTCAGTCCCAAAAACAACCTGTGTTTTTCCCCTTAGATCCCAACAATAATAGCTGATAATGCTGGCTATGACAGTGCTGATTTGGTTGCTCAGCTCAGAGCTGCTCATAGTGAAGGGAAGACTACTTATGGACTGGGTAAGGGGATCAGTTTCACTTCTGTGTTTGAATTGCTGTTTGGCCAGGTCCATTAGGCTCATTAAAGTTGTTCATGTATGTCTGTCACGTGTATTCAGCAGGGAGAACTGAGTATGTTGATTTGTTTGCTTTGCATAGAACTTGGTGTACAGCACTACATTCCTTTTGTGATCTACCAGGCTTTTGACAGTAGAGTGAAAATGTTTGATTCTTAAATGGATGGTGTTCACCTCTAAAAACCACTTTCCTTACACTGAGTCTAGTTATAGGAAGCTTTAAAAGAAAAACATTGTTTTAAAACCAGCAACCAGCTAAAAACCCAAAAGAACCAGACGTCCTTCCCTTTGCCCTTCCCCCCCATCCCCCAAAAAGCCCCAACCAAACAACAACCACAGAGCTGTGGAGAAGAACCCTGAAGTTAATGTACATGAGGACATAGTGTTGAGAGTTCTGTTTGGATCTTGTCTCTTCATCACAGTGTATAAAGTTTTTATAATCAAATGTTTGTGTATAATCGCAAAATTAGGCTTTAATCAGTAGTCTTGAGGTAGAAGACTTTATTTAATACTTCCCTATCAATATAGTTAATTTGAGCAGGTAAATTACTATGCTCTCAGCTTCTTATAATTTCCTTAAAAAATGCTGAGTTAAGAAACAAAACCAATCCCCGCCTCTTAATGTATTTCTTCTTCCAGATATGAAAGAGGGGGTCATTGGGGACATGTCAGTTTTGGGAGTAACAGAAAGTTTCCAGGTCAAGAGACAAGTTTTACTGAGTGCAGCTGAAGCAGCAGAAATGATTCTTCGTGTAGATGACATCATTAAAGCAGCACCAAGGTATGACCAAGAGTATCTGCATAGTCAGTCTTTCTGTGGGAGAGTAAGGTCTTGGTCTAAACATGCTTTTTTTTGAAAGAGAACCTGACGTGTGACATGCTGATGTTCATATTAGATAATTTTACTGCATTAGCAGTATCATCAGGCCTTTAAAGCCATCAGCAAACTTAAATTGCTGTGCCTGAGTAGTGCCTAGTTAATTCCAGGTCACCACTAAACATCTGCGCAAGTGGCTCATCAAAATGTAAGGGATCATGCTTTCTTTTTTCTTTTGGCAAGAATTATAGTGAAATGCCTAGATGTTTCTTAAAATGTTTGAGAAGAATTGCACTCATAGGCAGGTTATCCCCTGGGTGCCTGCTACCAAGTAGTTTTCACTGCTTTTTGCATCTAAGATTTTTTTTAGCATGGTCATGGGTGGTGTGTTAGATTTGAGGTGGTACTGGTTTTTGTCCTGTGAGATAAAGCTGTCACTGAACACAAAATACTAACTAAAGGTTAAAAATAAGGGTGGGTGAGGAGGGGAGGGGCTGGTGGACATCAGCATGGTGGGAATTTTCTGATTTTTCTTTTTCTCCCCAGAAAACGTGTACCAGACCATCGCCCCTGTTAAATTTTCTTCAGTACCAGAGGATGTGTGGACCAGATCTCACCTAGTAATTTTTTTAATGGTCTAGTTTTTGTGAGGTTATGGAACAGAAGCTTGAGAGAAACAGTTGGCACTGTCTTCAGTTCATTTTTACTTACTGGAGCCTTTATGTGTTGTGGGGAAGAATTCACTTTCACGAGTGCATAAACCAGGGATTTTCAACATCCCTATTCATTCTGTTCCTTCCAGGTTCCACTTAAAATACACAGAAATAAAAACAACAAAAAAAATCAGATTCCCCAAAGTTGTATTTCTTTCTGTAGAGCCAGGAAGGGCAGCTCCATGAGGACAGCTGTGGTGCAAATCCTCAGCTGCTTCGGGGAGTGACTAAGCCCTCAAGGCTCGCTGGTTCATGTTGACCTGCTGTGTTAGTGTGAGTGGTGTGTTCAGTCCTGGCTGCATAGGTTTTGAACTGGGGTCCTATAAAATGGCTCTGAAGTTAGATGGTATCTTTTTCTAGTGATACTGGAATATTACTTTTTTTTTTTTTTTTTTTTTTTTTTTTTTTTTTTTTTTTTTGGTGATAGAAGAGAGAGAGAGTGGATGAAGAACCTCAGTCAATGCCCAGAACTACAACTAAGTGATCTTACAGCTTTTTACACCACAAATTTTACATTCTTCTCAAGGGAGTTGAGAGGAACGTACAGTTTGGGAGGGAGTCCAACATTCTGGACTAAACAGTCTGCAGTCTGAGTGTTGATCTATAAAGTATTGGGCTGACTTTACAAACACTTGTAATTGTGGACACTTAGCAGAAAATGTGTCAGGCTCCATAACATTCACTTCCTGCCCTCTCTGCTCCACCCCTTTCATGTCTGTTGAATCCTGTCTTTATATTCACTTTCCTGTTCTATTAGTTGCTGCAAAGGCAACATGTTTCTTGATTGGACTGGTTTATTTGTGCCTAGGTTGGAAGGAAGCCTGTGATGCCTGCGGCAGTCTGCATGCAGATCTGTGAGGACTGTAAGCACAGACAAGCAGGGGCCCTGTCTGTGTGGGAGCCTGCCAGGCCTTGTGACCTTTCTGGCCCTTGCAAGTGTAGTACAGCACCTGGCAAACTCCACGGCAAGTCTGCCAAAGCAGAAAGATTAAGCTGAAAGAAGCAAGTATGTGTGCAAAGGTTTTTCTCCCTTAGATTTCTTAAAATGAAGGGAATCTGCTTACAGAATCCTCCCCTTAACACTTGACAGAGACTCTTCAGCTCTGTGGAAGTGATAGTGTTGTATTGAGAGGACTGAGTGAAACACAGACCATTGATAAGCCAGTGAAAGTGTGCTCTTCCCCATCCCTCAGATAAATACAGTACCAGCTCAGTTCTGTGGGAATATTTTACAAATACTGACCTTGGATATTAAAATAGCACCCCCAACTCATGTCCTGCTCTCCTTTTTGTAGGAAGAAATTGTTGGAACAAGACTAGATAAAGAATTTGCTGTTAATTCCAAAAAGGATTTTTTTAACTTGGCAAAAAAAAAAAAAAAAAAGCATTCTAGTATACTTTTATTTAATTTGACTAGGAGCACACTACATGGGTGCCAGCCAGATGCAAATTTGGATTTCATTTTACAAGACAACAAGTGCTAGCAGAGTCTGTATATTTCCAGATAATTTTTCAAGCATGTAGATGACATTAAGCAGTCACAAACTGGCATGGAATCAAACCTTTTCTGGGAAGTCAACTGCTGCTTCTGCAGGCTGTGCTGGTGAGACAGTTCTCAAAAAGTGTGCCACCAAGGGCTTTCCACCCTTGTTAATAACAAAACCAGTCACCTAATTCAACCATGCTATGGAGTCTAAAGTTTAAAATGTCACTTTGGGCCAGATTTCTGTTAGTCAATTAAAGCAAAGCTTAAGAAAAAAGTGCATTTTTAAGGGGATCTGAACTGGTCCAAGTTGCAAAGGTTGAGAAATACCCAGCTGAAATAATCTGAGTAAAGTTTGCCTCATGAGATTATGTGCAAGTTTATAGTGACAGCTCACAGCCCTGGATTTTATTCATGCAAGTTTACCTCTGCAGCTCTTGCAGCTTTTCCTTTTTAGTCAGGCTTTAATTTTCTTCTTTGCTCTTGCATGAGAACTTGTCCTGTAGAGCTGCCCTCAGAGGCAATGTTGTCAGTAACAAAACCCAGCAGCAAAGCCTACAGCTTTCTCACCATCTTTTGAATGGTGCTCGTCAGTAACGAAGCAGTTGTCACAAATTTTGCAGGAAGAAAGAGGAGAGCCCCCTGGACATATGTGGTGTTTCCTTGAGAGTGCAGCTTGGGACTCTGCTACCACTTCCCACTCAGCAGACAGGGAAACCTTCAAGGTGTTGCTGCATTTCAGAAAAAGTTGAGACCAATGCTGTGGGTTGCTTTAGAGCTGTGGGTCTCAGCAGTGATCACCTTGAGCAGTGGCTGCCGGCTGAGCTGGGACACTTCAGCAAGGTGCAAGGGAGGAGAGTGAGCCCACGGGTGAGGAGCAGCAAGTCCATTCTGCTCCATGCAATCCACCCATGGCGACATCTAAACTGAGTCTTTACTGCGAACTGTGTGTGGTCTTGGCATGGGAGGAGAGGGAGAGGGAAGAAGTCTGTTCTAGGGAGAGCGCTGGGTGCTGCACAAAGACGGGTGTCTGTGCAAGAGTTTTGCTGTCACATTATCGCCGAGCTGGTGCACATACTCCTAATGACTGCCGGGTGGTGTGGTGCTCCCTGGACACCAGCAAGCAAGGGAGAGGTAGAGGTTGGGCAGCGGTGGGAGTGCTGCCACCATGGCCAAAAGGGGCAGCTGAGGGTCAGCAGGGCTCGGCTTCTGGCTCGGTCTTGGCAGCAGGAGGTAGCAATGGTTTCTCGTTGAGTGGGATTTCTATCACCGCCCCGGATCTCTTGCGGGGCTCGGGGGTCTCCTCTGACCACCTGCCCACCCTGCGCACCCCTCTGGCCACTTTGGGTGCATTCCTGCAGGGGTTGTGGTCATAGATCACCAGCTTCAGGCCGGGAAGGTGAGCAAGGCTGGGGAAGAACCGGATGGAATTGCGATCCACGTCGATCACCTCCAGGAAGGGCATGTCCAGGAGCACGGGAGGGAACTCGGACAGCAGGTTTCCCGACAGCCAGATGGTGCGCAGCTCCTGCAGGCACTGCAGCTGGGCAGGGAGGCTGCGCAGGGCGTTGGAGCCGGCGTGCAGCGTCTTGAGCAGGCTGAGCTCGCACACCACTTCAGGCAGGTACTGCAGGCAGTTGGACTCGATCCACAGGGTCTTCAGGTTCTGCAGGAGTCGGAGCTCGAGGGGCAGGCTGCAGAGCTTGTTGTTGCCCAGGTAGAGGATGCACAGCTGCTTCAGCGTGCACACAACTAGGGGCAGTGCTTTGAAGTTGTTGAAGTCCAGTGCCAAGATTTGCAGGTTTTGCAGCTGCTCCAGCTCAGGGGGCAGGTGGTTCAGGTTGTTGTCACTCAGGTACAGCTTAACCAGTTCCCTAAAAGAGCAAATGTGCACAGGCAGCCGCCTCATCTGCCTGCCACTCAGATCGACCATTTTATCCACTGGCATCTCTTCTAGGTCTTCTAGGAGGTACTTCTGGCACTTGTTAGAGGGCACAAAAGCAAGTATGGCTTTCAGACTGTTGCCCATGTCAGGAGTTTGTTTTGGGATGGCAGGGGCTGCGAGGGACAGGAGGCTGCCTTGATCTTCTGCTGCACACTGGCCTGTTGGTAACTCGTTCCTCCCAATAAAAGGCTCTGTTTACATGGCACCAGCCATTAATCTCAAGGGTTCTGAAATGCTTCTGATAACTGAATGAGTGTTTGGTGATGGGGATTATAGACAGGATGACTCAAGGCCCTGGTCTCCCTCTCTCCCCACACTCCCACTCTCTCCCCCCCACCCCCAAAACATTCCTCTTTCCTCCCCTTGCACACTGTAAATGTTCTTTGATTTTGCCCCAAACAAAATTAGGGTCTCACCAATGCCCCAGCCTGTCACTTCTTGCTGCAGCTGTGTTGTCTGTGTAGCCAATGCAGGCAGCAAGGATGGGCTTGGGAAAGTAAACACCAGAGCAGACCAAAGTTTTAAGCTCAGATATTTGACTTTCATGAAACTTTCAGGAGAAATGTCGGATATGATCAAATTGCTGTTTAAAATACCTGTCAAGACTTGACTAACTTTCAAGACAAGTGGCACTTTCAGGGATGTATTTTGAAAGGTGGCAAATACTTGGATTTCAGAGTGTAACTTGCTGCCCAGTACTTATCTTAAAGCTTTAACAGGAATACTTGGCAAACTGCTATCTTGAGCGGTTCTACTGTTTATGTTCCTAATTTAATGATATTTATTATAGCCTCTGGCACTTTTGGTTGTGTATGGCCTTTTTCATTACGTTTTTCTCCTTTCTGTAGGGCCTTTTTCATCACATTGTTTTACTCCTTGTCTGAATCCCAATGTAATGTGTTATCACAAATTGCCAAGGTTGTTCTCCTTCTGCATTTCAACTGTGCTACTGCAGTTCCTGTGTCTGTACAAAAACCTGTCAAGAAACTCCCATGGATTTACTTCCGTCAAGATTCTCACTTGTTGTGAGTGAAATAAGTCTGATTTTGGAAAGTTACAGCTATTTAGATGTGACAATGTAAACTGTTCTAGTCTCATCATGACCCATTTTGCCATTCAGTTCTAATTTCTAGCAGCATCCCCATGTATAGCAACCTCTGCATAGTTTGACATGTTGAGCTGCTGCTATTTTAGGCTTTCCTGGGGGCTCCTGTTTGTCCCTACCCATGGCAGGGAGGTTGGAACTACATGATCTTTAAGATTCCTTCCAACCCAACCCTTTCTGTGGTTGTCCTGCCTCTCTGCTGGCCATGGCTCTACCGTGAGCTTTGGATGTAAAAGCTGGCAGAGTATTTTAAGGTAAAAAAGCCTTTTCACCACCTGGCTCTTTGCTTTGATATCTACAGTTCATTGCTGTAATTTTCCACACTTACTGTAATTTAGGGAGAATACTTTCTTTGAACAATCTGCAATTGGTTTTGGGGTATTAGCTGCTAACTACCAAAATCTGTGACTGCTGAGAGCCACACATTCTTGAAAGATGAAAGGCAGAGGAAACAGAAAATTGAGGAAAAGGCACCACTTAAAGTGGCCTCTGGATTTTTGGTCAAATCTAGTTATATAGAGCTCTCTACTATCACTTGGTTTCAAATGTAAAGCAGCTCTTAGTATCAATGGGGTACGGGCTATAGGATGTTTATGAGCTTTTTACCCACAAGATGAGTGGCTGTGCCATGCAGCAGTGATGCTATGAAGTGTGTGGAGGAGAACAATAGAGAGGGCACCTGGGAAACAGTATCGCAGCAGGACAGAGAGCGGTGAGTGCTGAGACCTGAGTGCCATAAAATCAGTTTTGGATGGAGAAGCTGGGCAGAGTATCAAGCTTGGAGAACAAAGACAATGTCACAGTCACGTATGGTGGTGCTGTGGAATAGAGGGCCTGAAAGTTCTCTCTCTAATGGTGGGACCTGCTGCACATGGCATCCCAGAAGAAGCCAGTTTGCACGCCATGAGCATCTCCTTTTAGACACTTTACTGCTTTGATACTCTGTGGCCTGTCAGAGGACCACTGCGGGGAACGTGTCAGCAGGTTGTTGTATTTGTTTTTCATTTCTATACAGCCGTGGCACCTTTTGAAGACAAGGGTCCCTCCCCTTAAGGCACTGTAGATTACAGGTGTGGAAAACCAAATGCATTTGACGTAATTAATAATGAATATACATCCACAGCAAGGTCTTGTATTTTAGACAATTTTTTTCAGATAACCTACTAATCATAGCAACACGATCATAGCTAAGAATATATTAATGATATAGTTTAGCATATTTTTTCTCAATAATCCATATGTAGACAAATAACTTAGCAAACTTATTTTATGTCTGCAGATGTGGATATGGATATATTTTTTTTCTGCTTGAATTATTTCTCCTTAATGGAACTTTTAAGCTGCAGATAATTATTTCTTAGGGATCCTCTGCACTGTAGTTTAATCATTATTCCAGCTTATCAAAAAAGGTCACAATGACCTTTTGTTGCTGCATTTTGTACCTCTGTTAGCTAAATTAATGTCTGCTTGGAACATAGAGTGAGAATTTGGGAAAGAATAACTTCTGTGTGTGGATTAATAAAGGACTACACTTGCAGTAAAACGAACAATTGCATTCTTTCTGAGAACCAGACACTCAGTGGAGGCACTAAGGCAAAGGCAGTCCTCACAGTAGACCCAGGCGGTGTTTTGAAAGCTACGTGCCTTCAAAGTTACCGTGGTGCCCTCCAACAGGAACATTATCCGAGAAGCATTTGTAGCATTTGAGGAAAAGTTCAAGTGATAAAGACAC